TGGGCCCCCCCCCCCCCCAGACTGTAAGCTCCACAAGGTCAGGGCCTCAGCCAGTTTTGCTCATCATTATATTTCCAATTCTATCACACTGTCTGGCACACAGAAGGTTCTCGTTAAATGTTTCTTGAATAAAAGAAATAAAACTGAATTTACAGGCTCCTCATCTAGAGAATCTTTGTTCTGGCTAAAACATTTTTAAAACAATTGTGGAAGTTATTTGTTCTCAGACATTGACAGGTTCATAATCCACAGGTTTCTCTCTCTTCTTTTTTTTTATACTGATCAGTTTGAAACATCATAGAAATTTTTCTTTCGGACATACCTTTCAGCCAATTGGTCTTTTAATGATTCCATAAAGGAAATCTACTTGGGAATGTCATAAAACTTTCTGCGTGGAAACTCAATCTCTGTTTTAGCTGTTCTAAACTTGTTTTGAACATCTCATCAGAATCAATCTGGTAGAAGGAAACCTTAACAATGTCACCTGAAAAATAATGATTTTTAATAACAGCATTTCCAGAAGCCTGGACAGGAACAGCAAGGGTGGGTGAGCCAGAACTGCACGACTCTGTTGATGAAGTGCAGCCCCACTAACAACCTACTCTGCCCTGCTGACCTCAGAGAGCTACAGCGAGGATCAAACGAGATAATGTGACTGTACTCCAAATTCTGGAAAGCTAGGTAAGGTCTTATTACAACAGCCATCCTGGACTTACACATCTCACTGGCCTAAATAGGTAATGCAGGACGTAATAACTTTTTGGACTAAAGAGAACATGGGAGCTACGAGAGGAAAATATTGATGTCATCTGTCAAACCTCCCTCTAAATGCCCTCAAAGTCCCCAGCAGACACCAGCCTCTACTTAAGCAGTGCTGGGGGTGGGGAGCCACCAAGACTTCCTAGTTAACACATTTCATTCTGGAGCAATGCCTTCTTAGCCTTATCTCTGTAATTTAAACACTTTGGGGGTCCTTATTCTACTCCCTAGAGCTCCTGGGGAATGTAGATCCAAGTAGGCATCTTTAGGAATTTGATAGCCTGGTTGAGTGGGGAAGGAATTTTTTTCACCTGGGTAAGTACCTCAGCTATAATTTTGCATACAAGGGTTAAGAAAGGAAGAGGACAGTTTTTACAGGCCAAGAGATCTGTTTACAGAGCATGTACCTAGAACTACATAATTAATAATAAACAGCAGCTAAGGCCTGAGTGCTTAGTATGTGTCAGGCATTGTTCTAAGAGCATTATATGTGTTAACTAATTTAATCCTTCCTACAACCCTGTGATGCACAGAACTATTATTATACCTATTTTACACATGAGTTAACTTAGGTACAGAGCGGCTGAGTAAATCGTTCAAGTTCACAAACTAGTAAGTGGTGAATCAGCAGGGTGTCTACTTTCCTACTGCCCACAGCCTGGTACTGACCCACAGGCCCGCACCCATCTCATGCCCTACATTCTGTCTTGCTCCTCCTCCACTAGGACTTATTTTCTCAATTAGGGTTTGTCCCCCAGACCTCAATTCCAGGCCCTTTATGGCTTTTGCTTCCCACCTTAACTATGATTCATAATTTCCTATTATGCTGCTCTGACTTCCCTGGATTGTAAATACACAGACCATGTCATGGATATCAAGTAAATATAGGCAATTTCCTTTCTTACTCAGCTCAATCCTACTTTTGTACCAAGAATCCCAGAAGTTCCTAGAATATGAAAAGGTAGCTGTTGACATGCTGGGAGTTTTGCTAAAAGTCCATGCAAAAATATTCTCCATTGCATTTTGTCTAGACAGCAAGCATGCCCAGCCAGAGCTGGGACATAAAGACTTGCTGAAGATTTAATACAATGCCCAGTAAGGGCTGACTGCTTCTGACAGCTTTCCCACCTATCTGGACAAGTACTCTAGAGGCTTGTAAAAGCCATCTATACCAGTCCTGAGAGAATTAAGTAGTTATTGGACAGAACACATCACCACCAGAGATGCTGAAAGAACTTCATCCTACTGCATTAAGGTTCGGGAGAGTTCTTGTATGACAGACCCCTGGGAGGACGTCTGGCGTGCGCGCCTAGTACCTTCACTCCATCCAGCACGGCCTTGATGACCCCTTTCACAGTTGTTACCATCTCTTTATCTTCTGAGTTCACGCCTTCCAGCATCACTTGGTCAGACCAACGAATGAGGTTGGCAAGACTTTGGTACACTCGGCTGTAGCAGGAGGAGAGGGCTGAGCTAGAGGGAAGAGAAGATTTTTAAAAAGAATGTTAAAAAAATCTAATGCTTGACCATCACTGTAAGATACCTGTTCAGCACAGAACCAGCTTCTCAGTGACTAGGGGGTTTCTCAGTTTTCCTTTGTGTAAAATCCACACCTCCTCTTAATAAACAAACCTTTTCTCCCCTTACCTTTTCTCACATCCAACAAAGATCTTGTGGAGCTTTATATTCTAATCTGTGTTATAAAATTTTTCCATTTCCCAAATACAATGTATAAAAATTCCATCATGATAGTTAATACGCTTTGATTTTGATAACATTTCTCAGGGAGCCCCATCTTCCCTTCCCTCAAGTTGCTAATCATTGAACTAGGTCAAAGCATTGCATACTTCTTGTGATGAATTAGACTAAAATTCATTTTAGGTGTATCCCAAGAAGCCAACAGGTTTATGGAATTTTAACAGGCAGGATCCTTTAAAGGAACAGCCATCAGCTCAGACAGGTCTATAGTTTATTAGGGTTCCCCCAGCATGGGTGCAGCCTCACCATCCTCTGCTCTATAACCAGGGCTGAGGCATCAGAGGACCGCACTAATGCAGACCACTTCAAGAGTAACACATCAGAGGCCAGGGGACTTGTGATGGTGGAGGAGATATGTCAAGGTAGCGGGGTGTGTGTGCGTGTAAGGTACCAGCTAACAGCTACACTGTGATGCCGACACACAAAACAGAAGCCCTGAGTACTTTGGGAGCACCAGTGATTACACGGCAGCTGCCAGAAGGAAGACTTTTTTTTTTTCCTTTTTGTCTTTTTTCGTGTCTGGCAACGGATCGCAACCCTCAGTGTCGCGCCCGTACCGGACCGGGACCAGCAACGGGATCGCAGCCCTCGATGTTGCTCCCACACCTCGCTCAGTCAGTGAGCGGGAACCGGTCTGTATGTGGGATCCGAAACCTCGGCGGGAGCGCCACCGCGCTCCCAAGCGGCGCACTGTAGCAGTGCGCCACCAGGCCGGCCCAGAAGGAAGACTTTTTACATATTCCACATATTTTCAAATATCTAAATATGATTTTCCTTAGGAATTCTGGAAAGAATTATTTTTCCATTTCAAACATTATGCATTATAACACAGGAAAAGCAAAAATATACAAAACTTGTGTGCTGCCTCCGCCCCCCTAAAATGTGAGGCAGACATCTAGGAGCTGAAGATATAATTCTGGGAAAAATATATATCATAAGATATGATTAAAACAGGTTCTAAAAACAAAGCCACTTAAAACAAAAATATGAACCAAACGGTGCTCTAATAAGCAGCTCTTCAGAATTAGGTAAGAAGGAAAAAGTTGTTCCAAGAGATCTAAACATTCCAGTCGGCCAGTCATTACGCTCAGTGCGTGTTCCAGCAGGAGAGGAGAGTCAGCAAGAATGAGCCAGCTTCTCGAGCCCCACGAGAGGCAGAAACACATTCAAAAAGAGCCCGGAGCAAGCCCAGAGAAAAGCACTTGGTGTTGGAACTGTTGTTCTCTTAGGAAGGAGGACCTGGAGGGGAGAACAAACACCCCACAGTCTTTCCTGGGGGCTGGAGCTTCCAGCAGTGAGGCTCCCTCACTTCTTCCTGGAAGTCAGGTGAGGCCTCATTAAACAAAGCCCACCACCTTCCACAGATGTACCCATTGGGGAACTCAACCAAAGCATCGCACTGTTAAATGACTAGCAATAATTAGATGAAAAGGGGGGGGGGGAACACTTTTGTTTAATACTTAATTCCCACCTGCGCTGGATGCTAACGTTTCCTGGAAGGCACTTAGAGAATTTAGTAATTATGTCCACCTTTCACATACTAGCTTAGAAGAAAAATAGTCTTCTGTCAAGGGGCTAAGACATTAGAAAGGAAGGAAGGAGGGCCCAGTACTATGGAAATGCCACCCAGTGGCCCAGCCTATTTCTGCAATGGAGCGAGGCCCCCTGTGTGAAAACAGGCACAGCTCCACATACAGGAGAATCCTCCACTTGCTGCTGTGCTGAAGGGTCAGCTGCTTGTTCAAGACTGGTCTACCACCATCCTGGGAGCCTAGGTGAGGGCAGCAGAGGGCCTGCCTACAAGGAACAGGCCCGCAGAAGAGGCTCTGAGCAGAAGGCAGGAAAATGCCTTTCAGCTTCCAAACTACAAGCAGAAAGGAAGGAGATGACAGAAAGAATCTAACAGGAACATCTAAGGAAGTATTTTCTCATTTCAGGGAGATCAATAAAAATATCACCATTGGCTTTGGAAGAATTTCAGGAGGAAAATCCCTTCAATGGTATTAGCCAAATGAGTACCAGGAAAAAAAAACAAAAAACAAAACTATTTCACAATTCCTTCTCACAATTCTCTACAAAAAGCTACCCAGGCACTTCCCTTTTTCCTCTCTAGAAAATGGCTATAGTCATCAAATAATTTTTGTCAACTATAAGAAGCCCCCCCCCCACTATCATGTGACTTGATCAATTCTTATCCAGTGTTTGCATGTAATCTCCACACGGAGTTACTGGCTAACACTCCAGGAAGCCACAATCCTGGCAGCAAGACACTGTCACATCATTAGCTGTGGGATTTAGCTAAGGTGACTCTATCCTGGACTCTCCCAAAAAGGCTTAGCGCCTGAGGGTAGCAGGGAAGTGACCGTCCTCTTCCCCACCGTCCCCCTGTCAATGCCCTGGAGTGGCACACACTCTTTGCATGGGACTGCGACTCTCTCCTTCCTCCCAGGAACACACCACGCCCAGAGGCCTCAGCTCCTTGTTTCTTGCCATTCCCCTGTCCCCGCAGCCAAGCCAATTCCTGTCTTTCCCTCAAGTCCAGCTGTGGAAATTCCTCCTCCAAGAAGTTTAATGGGACTACCACTCTCTTGTAACTTTCCCTTCTTCATACTTCAACAGAGCTTCCACTCTGTCTATACCATATACTTTATCAGATGATGGGGGGAGCTGATTTTTTCAACTAGATTTGAACACTTTCACTGTATGGACCAGCCATGAGAACAGACATGTGGGAGCATTTTATAAAAGCCATCCATTCATCTAACCATAGTATAACCATAGTAAATTTCCTCCAAGGGGACCAGTACTGAGCCCTTCCCACACTGGGCACTGGACTGACTGTGGGAAGACAAACCCTTGACTTGGTGTTGTCAGCACCACACTCTCACCAACCGGCCATTCCTACATTGGAATCCAAACCCATAGCCCTGGTGCTATCAGCACCACACTCTGACAAGTGAGCCACGGGCTGGCCCTTGAATTTCTAATACATAAACTTTGAGGGGGGGGACACAATTCAATCCATAGCACTGTGTATATAAAAGTGGACTGTTTTGACTGCACTGAAAACAATCTAGGTATTCTGTATATAAGATATGTCTGGTTTAAATATAAAATTTTCTTTTCTCTCTTCTTTCTACAATATTTTTTTAATTAGCTAACCAGCCATCCCTATATAGGGATCCGAACCTGTGGCCTTGGTGTTATCAGCACCACACTCTCCCGAGTGAGCCACGGGCTGGCCCTCATTCTCGAGTTTTGAAAGCAGTTCATAAAAGCTTAGCCTCATGGGCCTGAGCGAACACTAAGCAATCTCAAGGAATCGAAACAGAGATGCATTTATCCTAAACAGGTACCATGTAAGGAAAACAAAAAACCTCTCAAGAAAAAACTCCTACCAGGCTTTCACTTAAGATTACATTTACTGTTGCTTTTCTTTCTGTGCTTAACAATACATATGGGGCAAGCTGCTCACTAACCTTTAGGAGGAGAAGGTGCTCTAGCAATAAAAGCATTACCTAAGAAAAGCTTCCTGGAGCAAAGGCTGACTCCACCCCCCACCCTTCCCACCCTGGTGAACTCCACCGCATCCAGCTGCTGCCCTGGGAGACCCTGGCTTGATACAGTTAAGGGCTTCACTACTCCATGCTCTAACGGGTTCTTTTCTACCTCTTTTGGTCTAATCATCTAAACAGCTGAGGACTCTAGTAGGCTAGATATTGATAGGACTGAGTGAATATGTTAGGTGGCTGAGGGAACTAGGAGAAATGTGCCCAAATCAATGGGATTATTGCCAATGAGCAAACGTAAAGAAATAACCACAGACTTACACCACAGCTACATCCATGGGGAAGGCAGAAATCTGCCTCAGCGTTGAGGCTACAGGAATAACAATGACCTTGCTGGGGCTCAGGACACGCAACCTCAAAATACAAGGGTACTTCAAAAAGTTCATGTAAAGCTTTGTATTATCTTTGTATTATCTTTTAATTCTAATTTTCTACAAACTTTTTTGAAGTACCCTCGTATACTTCGGCATATTTTGAGCTAGTTATTCTGAGAAACTGCACACGCAGGAGTAGCTCTGAAAAGCTGTCCTTTGTAAATGAAATTTCTATCTACGAAGGAAATCTACATTAGTAAAATATCTATATCAGGAAGAGACAACTTTTATTACATGAGAGACTTCATCTGTGTGACAAGATAACCAGCACACAACTCCTACCTTTGCCCTCCCATAAAACTGTCACCCCCATTCTTTTCTGTAGCTCAGGATGCTATATAAGCTTCAATCACCTGACCCTTCTTGGAGCCTTATATTTTGTGGGACTCCTGTGCATATACATGTAATTAAATACGGTTTTTCTCCTGTTAATCTGTTTTACGTTCATTTAATTTGTAGTCCATCCAATGAACGTGGGAGGGAGTGATTTTTCCCTCCCCTACACCCTCAGCCTGGGATGGTATCAAGGGATAGCTGGTGGGGAGTTGGTGGTGGGGGTGTCCCTTTTCCTGACTGTTACTAGAAACCTTGCATGACAAGTGCTCCCAAACCGAGATGCGTCTAAGCTTTCCACTGTTGTGACCCAGCCCAAGACCCCCAGGCGACTCACCTGTGCTGAATGCGAGGATCGCTCTGCACCAGGGGTAAGATGGCCTCCAGCACCTTGCTGGCCGACCCTGGAAGCATCTCCAGGACCTTCTTATCAATAGCCATTTTGTCCACAATGGTCTTAAAGTAGCGCAAGGCACTGACAACTTCTTTCTCTTTCTCTTCCAGCCAGCTCAGGTTCTGAAAGGAAACGTTAAGCATAAGGAGGGAGGAGAGAGATTAAAGGGAGCTATCTTGAAAAATAAAATAAAATTTCCTGTAAACTAGTTTGAGATTGATGTGAATGGAAAAGGTACTTGCTGCAGAAACCAAGCCATTTTCTAAGGATTGTAAGCAGGAGACAGCTAGACCCAAAGGAAGAGGAAGGGGCATGGACCAAGAAAGGTCACTTAGAAACTCCGGAATTCCCTTCTGTGACCCTGAGGTATTGAAAGTCACTTCTCCTTTCTGTCCTAACCAACCACACTGAGATACCACTACTGATCTCATTAAGTTTGTGAGGACTAATTTACTGATGACTTGGAGAAGCAGGAGTCAAGTCCTGCGGTACATATACATCCTATAAATCAAATCAAGAAACACAGGCCTTGCTTTCAAAGATCAAGGGGACATGTAAAACTGGTTGGGGGCACTAAGGTTCAAGACCCATTTCCCCCAGGACTCCTCACTAGAATCCCATATTGCTCACCCTAAACCTGCAGCCCCCTCTTAATGAAATGATATGCCACTCCCAAAGGACCTGGAAACCCCCAGGGTTAGAAGGGATGGGAGGCTCTGGGTGAGAAGGTGAAGAAGCCAAAGCAGATGGCAATGATTCTGTCACTACTTGTGCGATGGCTGCCAACAGCAGTCAGGGTCCCTCTGCTGCCAAGGAAAGCCCAACCCAGAGGAAAAGAAGATACACAAACTACCACCCAACTCTCTTCTTGACAACGGGAGACCCAGAATGCACAGTCAGGGGAGCACACCCTTTGCTCCCTTTCTCCACCCTCCCCCTGCTGACCCTAACGTCAACGACCCAGGTCCCAGTCAAGAGTAATCTACAGAATGGTTAATTCCCAAAATGGTTAATCTACTCAAGGACGACCTATTACATATCCAGTATAAAGTAAGAGGAGCACGTATGAGGAAAACTGCCACCCATGGGCTCTGTGACGTCCAGCCAATGTAAATAAGAGCAACTGAGAGCAAGAAAATAATTTCTAGAAAATGTTGATTTAAATAATCTGTAAAAATACAAAGATATGGGCCGGCCCGGTGGCACACTGCTACAGTGCGCTGCTTGGGAGCGCGGCGGCGCTCCTGCCGAGGGTTCGGATCCCACATACAGACCAGTTCCCGCTCACTGGCTGAGCGAGGTGCGGGCGCAGCACCGAGGGTTGTGATCCCGTTGCCGGTCCCGGTCCGGTACGGGCACGACACTGAGGGTTGCGATCCGTGGCCGGACACGAAAAAAGACAAAAAGAGAAGAAAAAAAAAATACAAAGATAGACATATAATAAAAAGTGATTACAATTCTGAATACTAGTTCTTTGCTTGTAAAATGATGGGGAATGTCACTTTAAATTTTAAAAAATTCAATAGTGGAAGCTTTTATTTCATGGGAATATAAAAAAATATATATAAATAAATGAGATCAAGTGAATAGCTTTTTAGTCAGATGGCTTTCAGAGATACAATGTAACTTCTCTCATTGGTCACTTCCCAAAGGTGTTCTGCAGACCACTAAGACACAGTCCCCAAGGGAGAAGCACCCTCCCGATCCCTATCACTAGATCCTTTTCACCCTGGCTTTAGTTTTTCTCTTTTCACAGCCTGACATATTTGTTTATTTACAGTCTGTTTCCAAGAGGCCAGGCACTTGTTTCTCCAGCTCATGGACATGAGGAACCTGAGTGTGAAGGAATCACAGCGCTTGCCGACATCAAATGTGCCTGAAGCCATGGTCAGGCCCGCAGGAGGAAGACTACGACAATAACAGTGCTATCTTAGCGCGTCAGGAGTGAGAAGCCAGCAATGATGAAACTTGGTCAGGGAACAGGAAACATTTTAAGAAAATGTGCCATCAGTTTTGCTAGGAAGAAAGAGGCTAACTGGGGATGGGACGCATTCGAAAGGGGCAAGGCACTTCAGAGCAAAATGAAAATTTTCCTGTCATTGCAGAGATAGCACATCAGCCATGTAAAAGCCAGGCTGCCCTAGGCTCCTAATACAGGAACCACAATTTAGCAGAGTCAGGCTGCTGCCTTGAACTCTCCAGCAAACCCCACTCCCAGAGTAACAGCCTCTGAGTGTTGTGCATTCCGCTAGCCCCTCAGCTGTTAAACAGTGGTTTCCTGCAAAGTGCAGCCCTCAGTGAGCAGAGTTTACGAGGACACACCCATACCCAGCACTAGCTAGCACCAGGGACCCGATGCCCTGGCTCTGCTCAAGTTACGTGCTGCACGATCTCAGGCAGGCAGATGCGTGTACCTGCACACGCTCCTGCTGTGGGGCTCCAGATACCACCACTGGTCCACATAAGCCTGGAAACTAAATGAGGCTGTCAGTGCCTGGGGAGAGCCTAGGTCCAAGGCCAACTGTTGGGCTTAGGGAGCAGTGGGCTTCAGGTTCCTTGTCTGCAAAACGGGAAGCATAATGTCTGCCCTGTAACTAAAGAGGCTAATGTGGGGGATCAGATGAGAATGTGTATGGAAGTAGTTCATAAAATTTAACAGACACTATACCAAAATCAGAGACTATATATCTGCTAATAAAGCAAAGAAGGAGGAGAAAGGATGTAAAAACCTAAAAGGGAAAGAAAGAGGCCCGATTACAGCTACCACTCCATGGATACTTCAAGTTACCCACTGTGCTATGGATTTTACATGCATTGTTTTTTTTAAGGGTTACAACCACTCCATGAAGTAGATACTGTTATTTCACAGGTGAGGAAACTGAGCCGTGGTAGGAAGTGAGAGGAGGTTAAGTAAGCAACCTGCCCAAGGTCATACAGCTGTAGTGATGAAAATGGAATCTGAACTTGGTGTGTCTGAGTCCAGAGACTGGGGAGATGGAAAGGGGGGAAAAAGATTGATCAGAAACAGTGGAAGAAGTAAAGAAATTTACTAGAGACCCTCTGGTCCAAAGCTCTCAATTAATAAACAAGGAAAACGAGGCCCAGATGGCAGAGACAGTCAGAAAACTTAGCTCAGCTGCTACATAAGATAGGCTCTGGAGGAGAAAGAGGTGAGAGAAACTGGCCCTAATGTTCAGATGCTTCTCCCCTCAGCAGAGCAGCATCGGGAGCACCAACTTGCGCCTTCATTCCCTCATCCCATCCGCAGCCCAGGTGCCCTCCTCCGCAGAGTAACTCGTCTTACGACACTACAGGACAGGGAGCCGTTCAGATCCGGACTAAGCCTGGTTGGGGGTATGGTGGGAGCAAAGTAGAATCAAGATAATAAGAAACTGGAATCTCGGGAATTTTTTTTTTCCTTTTTGTCTTTTTTCGTGACCGGTAACAGGATCGCAACCCTCAGTGTCATGCCCGTACCGCGACCGGCAATGGGATCGCAATCCTCGGTGTTGCGCCCGCACCGCGCTCAACCAGTGAGCGGACCGGTCTGTATATGGGATCCGAACCCTTGGCAGGAACGCCGCCACGCTCCCAAGCGCCGCACTCTACCGAGTGCGCCACTGGGCCGGCCCTCAGGAATTTTTAAAGGCACTGCAACATTATTCTTTTCCATTGGACCAGAACAGCAAGGCCCAGTAAGAAGACGCTTTTTTTCATGTCTGGCAACGGATCGCAACCCTCGGTGTTGCGCCCGCACCTCACTCAGCCAGTGAGCGGGAACCGGTCTGTATGTGGGATCCGAACCCTCAGCGGGAGCGCCGCCGCGCTCCCAAGCGGCGCACTGTAGCAGTGAGCCACCGGGCCGGCCCCAAGAAGACGCTTTTAAGTGCTTGCTTCAGCAGCACATGTACTAAAATCAGAACGATACAGAAAAGATTAGCATTGCCCTACACAAGGATGACATGCAAATTTGTTAAGCATTCCATATTTAAAAAGAAAAAAGATGTGTTTAACAGAGATCAGTTATAATGAGTACTTCACAGCACCACCCACCACCAGGCTCTCTGGCAGTGCATCTCCCTGCTTATACTTCATCATGAGATCTCAAGAGCTGAAAGGAAAATCCTTCCAGCAGTCCACTCAATGGCCCGAGGATCCAACCCCTCTGTCCAGATGCCCACAGAGATGGAGAACTCACACCTCCCAGGCCACCCAGGCCACCCAGGCCATTTTTGGACAGTATTAATTGTGATTATACCTGGACCGTCATCTCTGGATTCCCAGTATGTGGCTAAATTTTCTCTCCTACTTTATTACTCGGCAGCTCACAATTTTTAGGCTTGTTAAAAAGTTGCAAAAGAGTTTATAAATTCATCATGGACTACTCTGAATTTTTAAATTGAACTAAGAAGATAAAAGAGACAACTAATATTTCTAAGTGGAACCAGTCTAGAAAGAGAACAGAAAATAGTGGGGCAAAACAGATTCTGACTAGGAGAACTTGGGCCAGAGCTAACACTGTCTGTTTACTGGGAATAGTAAATGCTTTCCCACATGGCTATGATGAGGAATAAACAAGACAGCATGTGCGAAACCATGCAGGACAGGGTTTGGGCAGAGAGAAACCCTGTGTGAGTGGAATGAATCTGAATCTGTACTTCTATCTAACCTGTGCTTCTATCTCCTACTTATTTAAGCGGGGAGAGCCATGTGTATAACCTGGGATGAAATAAGAATGTGTACGTAACCACTCCCTAAGTGGTAAGAGTGCCAATAAATAATAAATGACAGCAGCAAATGACAGACCTATTATTCTAAGGTTTCTTGGACATCATCCTCTAAGTCCATATATCCTGGCAGATTCCCCGACAGTTCCGGTTCTGTCTGTGGGCCACCAGTAAGCAGTAGAGGTTTGTACTTATTTGTCCCATGCAGGTGATTTGGGGCAGAGCATAGTAATTCAACCCTTTTTAAAGGGCAATGACCAAAAAGGGGATTAACATTCTTCTTTGGGTGAAGATCAGACCTATAGCTCTTTGTTACAGAGCAGGTTTCTCAGCCATAGCACTACTGACATTAAGGGACAGATAATACCTTGCTGTGGGGAAGCTGTCCTGTCTGTGTATTGTAGGATGTTCACCAGCATCTCTGGCTCCTACACACTAGATGCCAGTAGCACCTGCTTCACCATCCTACCATGACAACCAAAAATGTGTCCAGACATTGCCAAATGTCCCCTGAGATTTGCAAGCACCTCACTACGTGAGGGTACTTTAGCATCAGATTTTCCTTCACGACCTCTCTTGGAATAATTAATGAAGAGAGGGAAAATCTAAGAATTGAGTGGTTGAACAGTTTCATATCAGAGCTCACTGGCAGAACATCATTAGTAAGTCATTTTACTCTGATCTGCATAGAGTGGTGTGAGATGATAATTTACACTCTTCTTGGAGTTTAATATTAAACTCAGCTCCAAGAGGTTGCTAAACAGATTGTAATACAAAATAATGTGGCACAGACCAGATCGTCTGCTTTATTACTCTTCTTTAATCTGGAATTTAGATCAATCTGGCAAACGCTGAATATTTCCCTCTTATTCTTCAGCCTCCTTTTGTTAACAGATGGGACAGGAAAAACTATTATTCAACATAAGACTTTTGGACTTAAAACTTTTATTTTCTCCACTTCTAACTAGAATTTTAAGATATTCTGCTGGCCAACATAAAAACCAAAAGTAGATGAATTGCAAAATTCAAGAATTATGTGTTTAAATAACAGGGCAGTGTTTGCCAGCTGCATTTAAACTGATGGTTGTGGCAATAGTCCTAATATAATTATCCTTTGGATAATCACTAGAGGATTGAGGATATTTGTCTACAAGGCTTATTTTTATTTTACATTGCTTAGTTTTATTTTCATGTTTAATGACAAATCTGGTTTAGCTTTTTCTTTAATTTCTTTCTGAGGATCATACTGAAGGGAGTAATATTTAGATTTCTGAGATATTAAAAAGTAAACTCCAAGGCCGGCCCATGGCTCACTCGGTAGAGTGCGGTGCTAATAACACCAAGGCCCCGGGTTCGGATCCCACATAGGGATGGCCGGTTCGCTCACTGGCTGAGCGTGGTGCTGACAACACCAAGTCAAGGGTTAAGATCCCCTTACCGGTCATCTTTTTTTTTTTTTAAAAAAAAAAGTAAACTCCAGCTTTCTTTCATGAAGAGGAACTGTAGCATCGTGAGAATTCAGACTCTGACATCATACAGCCTGCATTCAAATCTTGACTTCATTGCTTTTTTGCTGTGTGACTTTGGCTAAATGCTTAATATCTCTACAGACTCAGTTTCCTTTTCAGTAAAATAAATTTTTCACGTGTCAGGGCTGTTATGAAGATTAAGTAAGAGAACACATGTAAAGTGCTTAGCAAGGGGCCAAGAAAAGGCTCGATAAATGTTAGCAACACACAGGTGTCCTGGCTCTGACAGCACTGGGCCAAGTGGCAGTCTTACCACACTCCCGAGCCCTGCTGATGTCTAAAAGAGCACCCTAAGGTCCCCCATTCTAAACTATCCAGATCATCTTAGCAATGCAAGGAAAGAACAGCTGGTCTTTAGAGATGAGACTCGCCCACTTTCCCCTAGAAACCGTTGGACCCAAGCAGCACACCCAAGCCAACCCCAGAAAGGATCCCCAAGCTTTTACTCTGTTTTTTGGAGAGAGTACTGAGCTCTCTCCAAAGACCATGAGAGCCTGGATAAACTCTCCCTTTTATCCAAGGCCCCTTGGACTCTTTCCTGAAGAATTCAGCCCACAGTCGCCACCCAATTGAACACAATTATATTGCAATAGATCTTTTTCCATCCCCAAAACCATGGGCCAGGATTCTGTAGTAGAAGGCAAGGCAAACCCGATTCCTCTTAATGTCACACTGACCTTCTGCCTTTGAGACCTGGAAGCCACAGCACTGGTGGACATAAATTCTACTGCCTGCTGCTCCAGATCCAAGGGGATAGGGTAGCCCTCTGGTAGAAATCTGTCTGTTGCCTCCTGGAAGAGAGGAAACCTGGATTCCTACAGAGCTTAAAATGTCCATTTTAGGCTGAAGGGAGGGATTGATGAAAATCAACAGCTGTTTTAACATCTGGCTTGACCAGCCCTGCTGAGGTTGCTAGTGCTTGAGAACAACTTTGGCTGGGCTTCAAGGGGTTTGCATGTTTTAGAGCACAGGCCGTAAAGCCAAAAGGTGGACTCCTGAACATCACAAACTTCCCTGTGTGTGTGTGCACCAGGGCAATGTGGGTACCTCTGGGGCAGGAAGGCGGCATCTTGGGGTATGAACATGATGTGCTGAGCTGTTTTTAATGCCCAGAGGATGACACAGCTGGAAAAGGAGAACCGTTCTAGTCAACTGAGCTTAACTCTGATTAACATGACAAAGACTTACAATCCTAAAGGTTCACATTTCACAGGGACACTGAAGGCTCTGTCTGGAACCATCCAAAGCTACAGAATGGTTGTTACCGTACTGAAAGCTCAGTCCACGTGGAGTGAACTGACAAACAGCACAAACTCATATTGCTCAAAGCAAGCAATGGAAACACCTAGAGACAGTTGGCTTACTTTGTTCACAGGCTTCTCCGAAATCTTCACGGACACTTCAGCTGGTTTTCCCTTCTTTGATGGTGTTCTCTTGATTTTGGGTGAGTGGAATTTGTCCATCAGCTTCATGGTGAAGGAGGAGAGGTGAGAACGCTGAGAGTCTAAAACAAAGAAGATACTGACTGTCAGAGGGCAGAGTGGGAAGAAGCTGTGGCTCACTAAACTTTTGTGGAAATAAGCAGTGTACCCAAGCCAGTCTTTCCTCCTGGATGTTCAGAGTTTCAAAGGAAAGGAAATATAGATCCATTAAAACATCTCTGGGCTGGCCAGTTAAAGTTGGTTAGAGCACAGTGTTGATAACACCAAGGTCAAGGGTTTGGATCCCTGTACCAGCCAGGCACCAAAAACAAAACCAAAAAATATCTCTGCTTCAGTTTTTACAATTTCCACCTAGGTTAAGTTGTTCAGAATTGTGGAAGTTGAAGGCAGTCAAAATGGATATCGAAAAAGAACTTGCAAATATTTCCAAGTGTCCTTATAGAGTTCATATGATGATGTAACCGACATCCAAGGGAACATCCAAGGGAACTGGCTAAGAAGAAAGGATACCAAGTAGAATCACAGAAGTGCAGAATGTGAGAATTGGAAAGGAAGGCCTTTTTGAATCAGCCTCTTCATTCTCTGGTTTACAGAACTGTGACAAATGACATGGGCAAGGCCCCAGAACTGGCAGCAGAGACTGAACTAGAAGTACGGTATCCAAAACCCTCTGGGCCATGGTAAAAGACTGAATAATCTCCTCCTAAGGTCAAGAACAAGACTAGTATGTCCGTTCTTACCACTCCTGTTTGATGTTGTACTGGAAGTTCTTGCAGGGCAATTAGGCAAGAAGAAAAAATAAAAGGCATCCAGTTTGAAAAGGAAGATATAAAACTATCCCTATTTGTGGATGACATAATCTTGTGTATGAAAAATCCCAAACAATCCACTAAAAATCTATTAGTAATGACAAACAGATTCAGTAAGGTCACACAATCCAAGATCAACATACAAAAATCAACTGTATTTCTATATAGCAGCAATGAACACTCTGAAGTGAAATTTTAAAAAGCTTCCATTTACAGTACCATCAAAAAGAACAAAATACTTAGGCATAAATTTAACAAAAGAAGTGTAAGACTTATACACTGAAAGCTATAAAACACCGTTGAAAGGAATTAGATATGATCTAAATAAATGGAATGACACCCTATGTTCATAGGTCAAAAGGCTTAATATTGTTACCATGGCAACACTCCCTAAATTCATCTACAGATTCAATATAATCCCTATGAGAATCCCAACTGGTTTGTTTTTTTTTTTTTTGCAGAAATTGACAACCTAATCCTACAATTGGCATGGAAATGTAAGAGACTTAGAATAGCCAAAACAATCTTGAAAAATAAAGCTGCAGGACTCACACCTCTCAGTTTAAAAACTTACTACCACAAAGACACACTAATCAAGACAGTACAGTACTGGAATAAGGATAGGCATATAGATCAATGGAATAGAACTGAGGGTCCAGAAGCAAACCCATGTGTCTATGGCCAACTGATTTTCAACAAGGGTGTCAAGACCATTTGATGGGGGAAAAACAGTCTTTTCAACAAACGGTGCTGGGACAACTGGAGAGCCACATGCAGAAGAATAAATTTGGGTCCCCATCTCACGGGATATACAAAAATGAATTCAGAATAGATCAAAGACCTAAATGTAACAGTTACAACTATAAAACTCTTAGTAGAAAACATAGGAGTTTTTGTGACCTTGAATTTGACCACGTTTTTCTTAGATATAACACCAAAAGCACAAGCGATAAAAGAAAAAAAATAGATAAACTGGATCTCATCAAAATTAAAGTCTTGTGCTGCAAATGATACCATCAAGAAAGTGAAAAGACAACACACGGGATGGGAGAAAATACTTGCAAATCATATATCTGATAAGGAACTTGTATACAGAAAATAAAAAGAACTCTTACAACTCAGCAATAAAAGACAACCCAATTTAAAATGGGCAAAGACTTTAAATAGATATTTGTCCAAAAAAAAGATATATAAATTGGCAATAAGCACATGGAAGGATGGCCAATACCATTAGTCACTAGAGAAATGTAAATCAAAACCACAATAAGTTACTATTTCACACCCACCAGGTATAATAAAAGAGACAGTACCAAGTGCTGCTGAGGACTGGACAAACGGGAATCCTCACACACTACTGGTGGAAATGTAAAATGGTACAGATGTTTTGGAAAACATCTAGCAGTTCATCACAAGATCAAACACAAGGTTCCCGTATGACCCAGCAATTCCACTCCTAGGTATAGGCCAAAGAAAAATGAAAACATATGTCTATGTGACTGGTACAGGAAAGTTCACAGCAGCATTATTTGGAACAGCCAAAAGGCGGAAACAACTCAAACGTCTTAATGTTCATGAGTAACTGAATAAAAATGCGGTAAATCCATACAATGAAATATTATTTGACAATAAAAAGAAATTAAGTACTGACACATGCTACAACTTAGATGAATCTTGAAAACAAGCTCACTGAAAGCTGTCAGTCACAAAAGACCACAAATTTTATGATACCATTTATTTCAAATGTCCAGAATAGGTGAATCTATAAGACAGAAAGTAGATTAGTGGTTGCCTAAGACTGTGGGTGTAGCGGTAGGGGTTGGGGTGGGGGTGGGGGCAGAGAGGAAAGAGGCATGCAGAGTGACCACTAATGAGTGTATGGGGTTTCTTCTGACGGGTGACAAAAATATTCTAAAATTAGAATCTGGTGATTGGTTGCACAACCTAGTGAATAACTTAAAAAAAAAAAAAACCAAACCATTGAATTGTACACTTTAAATGAGTGAACTGTATATGTGAATTACATCTCAAAGCCGTTTAAAAAAAAAAAATCAAGATGAAGGCAATCTTCCTTCATTTCACCACTTACCACAATATATTCCAGTGTCTGAAACGATCTTGTTAATTGATTTATCTACATGCTTGTCTCCCTACAAGAACACAAGCTCCCTGACAGGTGTACCTGTCTTGCTCATGCCTATTTTCCCAGGGCTAACGTGGTGACTGGCCACAGAAGATGCGCGGTAAACACTCACTCAACACCTGAACACATCAACCAACCAAAAAATTGTCCCAGGAAGCCTGCTTCTTTTTGTAACAGCAGAAATTCACAGAAAATACTTGAAATTGGCTGAAAATTATGGAATAAAGCACTATAGTATGCACTGAAAAAATCTAGATATCTGTCGTTTTAAAAATAAAAAGCACTCCCCCTGCCAATTTTCCCAGCGATTTAAGAAATCG